TGACCTTCAATCTTTCCCAGCATCAGGGTCTTCTCCAGTGAGTGCTCCCTTCTCATTTTAAGATTACAGCAGTTACATTCTGCTCAGGATGTCAACTGCTCTGCCCAGTGGGGGGGGGGGGATAGAGGGAACATTGGGGCTCCAAGGCAACTAATGCACTACTCTGCTCATTTCTTCTAGCTAGTTTCTGCTGGTGACTGACAGCTGAAATTGTGGTGAGCAGGAGTTGATCATTTCCAAAAAGCTGAAGCTTTGGTGTGGCCAGAATTAATCTCAAAACCCCTATTCAGCTGCCTTTGCTGCTAATACCAAAACTGCAGAGTAGATGAAACATTTTGAAATAAACTGAACTATGAACAGCTCAGCGTCCCTCAAGAAGAAAAGGCAGGATAAACTAGAAAGGAAAACAACAATTTTGGTGGGTTCATGATATAAGCCATCATCTACCCCTTACATTTCCAGGGAAAAATGGGACACCAAAACAATTTAGTACAGATGTATTAGTCCTTATACCTATGGCATCATACAGGAGGAACGAAACATTGGAACTTACCTGAAGGTTTCTTCAATTCAGTGGGCAAAGTCATCCAAGCTGTTTAGGTCATGCCTCCTCTTGCTCCAGGCAGGGCTATGCAAATTTGTGTTGACTGTATTGACTCAGAGTGAAGCTGACCCTCCAGTCTTAGTATAGCCCAGCTCCATAACAGATTTTGCATCCGACTGGATTTGATTTTTTTTGTGGTGGGATGTGGATGACTTCGCCCCCCTTCAGGTAAGCTCCAATGTTACGTTCTCCTTCAGTGGGGGAAGTAATCCAAGTTGGTTGCATGCCTGAGCCACAACCTGGGCGGGATACTCCTTTTTATTCTGTTCCACCACTATGTTGCACACTCTTCAACCAAATGAAGCTTCCCACAGATTTTAACTGGTCCCATCTATAGTGTCTCACAGAAGTATAAAAGGTGGACATGGCTGCAGCTCTACAGAGTATTTCCACCAGAGTCCTGGTGGAAAAGGTCACTGATGTTGCTGTAGATCTGGTGGAGTGGGCCATAACATCCTTTGGAGGTCTCAGGCTTTACACTTCATATGCCTTTCATATACATGGCTGGATCTGTAAGGCGATGGCAGATTTTGAGACCTTTTTACCTAGAAAATGTGAGCCGTGAGACACAGCACATCCTTTAGCCTACTCTTCACCATCCTATTTAAGCAGATGTGCAGAGCCCTGTGTGCATCTAGCTTATGACAGACTTCCTCTTAGGGACAAGATGGCATAGGACAAAAGGATGGTAGCACCAACTTTGGGTTAACATAAGGGGAAACTACCTTTGGCACGAAGGAAAGATCCCTCCTGAGTGCCACCAAATCCTTGTGAAATATACACAATTCCTTCCTGGCCAATAACTCCCCAAATTCAGAAATCCTTCTTGCAGAAGTCACAAGAAAAAAGGCTAGATTCTGACATCTGAAAGGCTCAAACGGAGGTTTGCTCAAGGCCTGTAACACGGGAGGTGCCAACTGCATGGTTCCTCTGAGGAAATACCCAATATGCTTATGAAAAGAAAAATTATGCAAGCCAAAAGGAAGGAGTTAGATCCAGGAGAATGGAATCTAAACAAAAAGATCTTCTGGCAAACTCATACTTCATTCTGGGATCCCTATCAAGAAACCTTTTATAATCAATCAAGTCACCAGGTTTCTAAAGAGTTTCTATGATCTCAGGGCAGAGGGCGAGGACACATGCACTTGCCATTCACCTAGTGGTCTGCTGTACCAGGCTAGCAGAAAGGGGGATTGTTGGAGATATATTGAGGGTACCACTCCTGAGTGCCCTTCAAAGCTTTCTTGCCCTGTGGAAGGGAACTCAAAACGTCTTCTGAAGGCAATTAATGTCATCTGAGCTGTCCCCCCCCCCAAGGAACTGGCATGCTTGCTGCCCTGTCCTTTGAAAGGAAGGGCTAGAAACAGGCTTGGAGCCTCCCCCTTCAAAGACAGGCATTTAGATTAATTTACTTAACTATAATTTAACTACCACTTTTAAAATTTAAATACCTCTCAAACAAAACAAAAATAATCCTGGCTGTGGGCCTGTTTATGCTGCTGTAGATTTATCTGCCATTGACCAGTCTCTGATGCCTGGAACATCTTAATGATCCCTTTTCTTCTTTTTTTAAGGCTGTTGATGGGCCCTTTCTTCAAGCCTTTTCCATCTTCCATGTCAATAACAGAAAAGTCTCCAAGAAAGTGAACTAGGAAGCAGCAGGGCTATCAAAACAGGAGGGTCAGTCTCGCTCTCAACCAGTACAGTCTACACAAATTTGCATAGCCCTGCCTGAAGGGAGAGGAGGCATGCCTCACCAGATTGGATGACTTCCCCTACTGAAGGAGAACATAGTATTCTATAGTTTTAGAGCTGGGCATGGATCACCCAACCTCTCAAAGCAATCTTTTAAAGTGAGAAAGGCTAGCTGTCATCAAGATATGGGGACAGGATTCTGGACCACAGTCTTAGAAGTACTGATGAGAAACGTGCAAATTTCATTATCAAGAAAAAACCCCTGCATCATAGTAACCAACAAAATGCAAAAAAATGAAAGAGAAGTCAAACATTACATAAGAACTGCAAACATAGTAAGAAGACTGGATAGCCATGTTACTAATAATGACAGAAAGAACAAAAAATCTACAATTTTTACACAAAGAGGAAGGCAGTCTGACACTGTAGCAACAGAAAGACCATCACTGGCCCCGGTCACACGGAAGGTTTTGGGCCGGGAGAGGGACGGATCGGGGGCGCAGCAAACGGGCGCGATCTCACCGCAACATCTGGGAAGCGGCGCGCACCCGGTCCCCGATCCGGCCCTTCAGGCCGAAAACCCGCTGTAAAAAAGAACCACCCCTAGAGGTGGACTTACCAGAAAGGCCACGGCAAGCATGGCCGTGGGATCGCTGGCGCATCCTTCTGCCGGCGCATCCGAGGCTCCTGGCTGAACTGCGCATGCTCACACATGCGCAGTTCGGCAGCCTCCCTCTCTATTTTGTGGCTTTCGTGGGATCTGTGTGATCCCGCCACCGCGTGCCTATTTTGGTGCGGCTTTCAAAAGCTGCACTTTGCCCGTGCATTCCCCCCCCCCCCCCCCCCTCAGGGACCATTATAAACATGATCAGATGGAAGCATGAACAGCAAGAATATAGAGTAAGGGGACCAAGTAGAATCTCTTGGTCACAAGATGAAAAAGGAAGAGAACATCACTGAAACTTACAGACACAAATCTGTAAATAAAGGTCAAATATTAAATCATCAACAGTATGTCAACAATGGAGCAAAGGAAATTTAAGGAGAAGAAATCAAGTACTGAAAGCAACAGATCAAGGACTAGAATAGAAAACAAGCTTGTACTTCCTTTAAAGAAAGCTGTGAAGAAATGCAGAAAAATTGAGCTTTCTAAAACAAACACATTTTCAACATGCTAACAAACCAGGAAAATATCTTGCGTACTGCCTACATACAGAAACTCAAATGAGAAAAATAATTGGTGGATGGGAAACAAGATGGTATCACCTATGCAGAGAAAGAAATTCAAGAACAATTTGAACTTTCCCCCAAAAAACTCTACCAAAAAAGATGTTTTAACAGTAAATGGAATGGATGAATATATTAAAGAAGCCTTAACTTGTACATTTTCAGACCAAGATAGAGAAATTTTGAATCAAAGTATTTCAGTTCAATAGCCATCAAGAAACCAAAAAAGTATAAGGCACCAGGACCAGGACTTACTGCAATTTACTACAGAACTTTTGAAGAGAAAATAATGTTACCCTTACAAAAAGTTATGAATGATATAAGCGAAAAGAATATATTGCCACCATCCTGGCAAGAAGCTCTTTATATAACATTATTATATAAAGAGAATAATGACCCAATGCTACCACAATCATATAGACCTATTTCATTGCTGACTGTGGACTACAAAATTTTTGCCTCAATCATGGCTGATACATTTTCTTTAGTCTATCTCTAAAGTAATTCATCCTGATCAGACTGGTTTTGTACCAAAAAGACATATGAAAGACAATGACTGCAGTCATTGGTGGTAGGAAACATTACACGGAGGTACTAGTTTCCGGAAACCGCGGGGCAAGGGTGGGCGTCTGATCACGTTTCCGGTGGCATCCGGCGCCCGCCCATGTCCCCTTGCGAAAAAGGGTTTCTCCCCCCCCCAAGTCTCCGTGGATGCGCACACACACCCAACGGAGCATGCGCATTCGTCGTGTACACAAAAAAAGAAAACCAGTTTGCCGCACCGCACGCTTCGTTGCGTGTCCTGTGATCGGCACCTCTCCCTACCCACGGAACCTCCACAGAACCTCCACAGGAGGTCTGATCGCTTAACCGCACGTTAGTTTGCCCCGGGGCAAACAGCCACACCCCCCCCCCCCCCGCAGTTTCCTGCCCGTGTGACCGGAGCCATCGTTTGTTTTGTTGTTGATGCAATAGAACATGTTAAACACAAGGACTGCTGTGCATATAGAACTTGTTGCACAAAACCCTTTGGATCAGGCCATCCAGTAGGCCATTTATATATTGGAAGATCAACTGGCATCATTTTTCTACTGCAGTAAAGCACAGGTGGCATCGTCAGCAGATCTGTATAAGCATCAATTCCAAAGTAAAATTATTCATAAAGTAAGATTTTTATTATATCCAATATTCAAAGGAATTATCCAGAATATTCTTTTAAAACAATAGTTTATTTTTCACAATTATTGATTTATATATTACTTATAAGCATTTTCAAGTGTATTTTAAGTATCACAGTAAAAAAAGTTGGTATTTAAAATGAGTTTAACAGTTCACATGTTTAAAAACTCTCATATGTTCACAATCCTTCTATACTATTACAAAGGAGAACCATTATGTATAGATTTAGTAAAATAACTCATTTTACAATGATTATAAAGGTCTTTGGGAAAAACATGTAACAAATAATGCACCAATAAAGATAAATAGAAAACTGAAGACAAAGTATTTACATGTGTTTTCCTGAAACCTCAAGACCATCTACTTTTAGGTTATGTTAGCAGAATGTAATCCAAATGGATTTAAGACCATTTTGTGAGGAGAGCAATACTTTTAAAGCTTATCATAGATTTAAGTATTCATGACACACAGAGACTTTTAGAAGTGATTCTATTGTGAAAGGAGGATGTCTGTTTCAGGAACTGAAAAATACTAAAGTAAATTTAGGTAAGTGGAGTTGGCTTCCAGAAGAATTCCTGTTTGTTCACTTTAACTTAGGCACGATGTGAAGCATTTTATTATAGCATCCCTTGAAAAAAAGAACAAAATTAGCATTTGACCATGTACAGAATACCAAAACTACTATTACTATTACGGCAAAGTATACCCACTACATGCACAAATTCTGACAGTTCAAAGAAGGCTGTTGGGAGCAATGTTCCCTCTAAGCTGTAGAGTCTTGTGAGCCAAAATTCAACTTTGTGAGCTACTGGCATTAAAGTTGTGAGCAAGCGACTTTGCTACTGTATGAATCAGTTTGCTCTGGAGCCATCCTTCCTGGGCTAAGACAAAAATGTATGAGCCAGAGGCTAAAAAACTATGAGCTAGCTCACACCAACTCAGCTTAGAGGGAACACTGGTTGGGAGTCTTACAAAAGGATCAGTAATTTTCAAACAATAGTTCTTCTAAGTAGTTGTTTTATAATGGCTGCAATCTGAAGTACACTTACAGCAAAACTTGCATTTGTGCAGCCTTATCAAATACATGTTTACTCTGAAGTAACAGCTACTCAGGGGAAAGGAATTATTCTAATGTGCTTTAAAAATGCACATATTGTTACTAATGTGATAGTTATCAGATCAGAAGAGGACTCCTAGTGCATTATTATAAAAGCCTGAGGCCAGGACAGGAATATCATGAAATGTTCCACATGGCTTAAAAAGTGACAAAAGTTAAAGTTCAAAGGAACCTCTGCTCTGCTAGAGAAAGCACAGTAAAATGCCTAGTGAAATTGAGGTGTGCTATGTACACAATCTCTCTCAGGCATTAGAATTCACAGAAGCACTATGTAAAGGCATTACATAGAAACAGAATGAAGACCTGGTTTTTCATGAGAGCACACATTTTTAAAAGTTGGGTATTAACTATATAAGCTCTTGTTTTTGTAAAGCAACACAACCAAGAGACTCACCTGGCATAAGGAATATATGACAAACTGTACCTGAAAAGAGAAGTTAGAAAGCACATGGATGTTTAGTTTTAATCCAGCCTTAGGAAGTCTGTCTAACGTAATTGAAGATTACCTATACAGACTATACACTGCCTACCATTTTTATCTGCCTACCATTTTTCTTCTCACCTTGACACAGAGAGTACTCCATCTTTCTGTGTTATACCTCTGAGGATGCCAGTCACAGTTACTGGCAAAACGTCAGGTTCTACAATGCCAAGACCATAGCCACACAACCCGGAAAATCTACAGCAACTAATAGACTATACACTCTTCAGAATAAAAAAGCTTTGGGAAGAACTCTGTGTACAGCCAAAAAATTCTCAACTCCACTCTCCATTTCAGAGTCTGATGAAAGTAGTTACTCAGCCACCCACAAGACGGTATGCAGACTGAACTTGTGCACATACAACAGAAGCAAAACTTGTTAAGCAACGCAATAAAATTATACCTGATCTGTAAACTGCCCAAGAGCACAGTAAGGCCAGGTAGATAAATAAAAATCTTAATCTAAGGAAAAAATTACTCTTTTAATGCTACAGATCAGTTCATTACCCAATAATCTGCAGCAATCGAAGTGTCTACATGCAACCTTTTTAATATTATCTCTGTGTCTGATGGTTGTTTTAACAGATCGCCATCACTTAAAATAGTGACCCAGTAAATGGCAATCATTTTGTACACACAAATAAGTCTTGAGAGCTGAAGCTTAGGGAGAAAGTTCATATTCTCTAAAATAAATACCTAAGAACTCTAGCACAGAAGAATCCTGTTAATCCTCTGAATCCTGTTAAAGAAAACCTCATCATTCTAAACTCTGGTTCTCCAAGATACATTTAGCTCAGTGTCTCTAACTATAATCTCCCCTTGGTCTCCATGAGAAAGTGGAACTATACATGAAGTAAATAAAGTTGTATGAACTTGTTACCCTTCTGAAATCACTATATTTTGTGCCTCCCCCCCCCCATTGCAATGATCTGTCCACAAGTTACTTTTTGAACAGTCACAGTCAATGTATCAAGCTGCTGCTAATGAATGCAAAATGACTGCTAGAAATTGCTACAACACAGATTAGAAAACATCCAACTCCCTCCTCAAATGATACACACAGAGCTATCAGAAGAACAAACAATTCCCATGCTTCCTTCTTTCCACAGCAGACTGAGATGTCTGGGCACCAGTGCTAGTCTAGGCTGAAACAGTAAGCGTTCAGTGCCAGAGAGCATTAAACCACCCAGATCTTGGGCTTGCTGAAAAGAAGGGATCCATGCACCTCAGGATTCTACACCTACCGGGAGCTTCATGCACCCCTCCCCTTTTATGTGTCATCTTCAAAATCGCTACCCACAGTTTGAGAACCACTGGTTTAGAAGATTGTTACAGACAACTGAGAACCTGAGTTGACTCAGTTTAGCATGGTTTACATAAAAAAAATACAAGACTGTCGAATACACATTTGTACAACTTCTAATTGCTCTGGTCTGGAGTGAAATGAGAAAAATTCCAGCAGTGGTAAGGATTAAATAGGATACTTTTTAAAAGCCTACCAAAACCAAGTCAAAGACATGTCACATTTTCTCTTATAATCAAAAAAGACTTGCCTAAATCAAACTCTGAATTACCTTTTTTCTGTTTAACATTAAGTGTGTATTCCCAGTAAACAAGCAAATGCTTTGTCCTTTTTCTATCCTGGTCTAGACCTCTTAAAACAGTTTAATAGACCTTAATAGACCAGCCTAATAAACCTCCTTCCCATGATATACTATCCGATTCAGGACTGGATGAACATCAACATGACTATCCATTCCTTCGCCTGAGCAGCTGATCACTATATACGGGAAAAGTATTTCCCCCATCTTCACAGATTTCCTGCTTTTAAGATACAAAATAAATTACAAATTGAAATAGAGTTGTGTCAACAGCAGATCATATCTGTAGGACATCATCTAGAATTGTGTCACAAGATCTTAATCATCTGGTTTTCATACAAAGGTATACCTATAATTAAAGATTAGCTATGCTAAAACCTCTGATGAAGCATAGTACATTTTATTATTTATTTACTGCTAGTGCAGTATTTATATTATCAGAGTCCAGGACATTTCACAGCACAGGAAGAGGGAAATCAAATTCTGCTTCTTGCTACAAGAAGTTCAAAAAAATGGAGGTTTATTTTTCAATACCTATAGAGCACTAATCAAGATGACTATAACTTCTTACACTGGCATAACTTTTAATATAGTCTCTTACCGAGCTTTTACATGAAAAGATTTATAACAGTAGTACAAGACAAAGGTTTACCAAGGCTACTTACCAGGTCATTGCCAAGAATTGGAATACGCAGAACAGCACAGCTAGCCCTTTCTTATGCCACTAAGGAAAGAGAGATAAGGAACATTTATAGAACTTGAGTGCTTTTTAAGGACATAAAAATGAATTTTAGATGTCCGATATCCTTCATCTAAAAGCAGCAAATGCCATTGCTGCACATTCAATATCCTTCATGGCTATAGTTTTCAGTGGCACATGCAGCTTACTCTAAACATATTAACTAAAAACAACTTTTATGAAGGTTAATGAAGCTTATTCTTCCACAAGTGTACACAGGGAATACAAAATCTTCACTAGATTAGTATGATCCTTGAAGAAAATTAAGGATGTTTTTCTTCTAAAAATCCATTATTTGACTACATCAAAATAAACTGCTTGGCAAGTAGTCAATGTTAAACCAGCCCTAAAACAAAAGGTTAATGCAACTTAAGTAAGAAAACTTTGCTATCAGTTTTATATTAATTCCATTCATGCTTACAAAACTCAAAATGCTAAAGCAATATTACTTACCCAAAACACAGCACATAGGGTTAGGATAAAAGAAAACTGGGGAAATAAAAAAAATATCAATTAGTAATCAAAATACACCGTGATAGGAAACACTCCCAGCAGAGCACTAAAAGGTCCAGAATACACCAAATTCCCTCAGTTCCTTGCACTGTCAAGGAAAGTTTGTGATTTAGGATCTTTTTAGAAACAACAAGCACCCTCATTTGTTTAAAAACTAACGGAGCATACATAACACACAGTGCATGGAAGCAGGAAGGGCTGAAGATAAGGGTCTATGCACGGACATATACAGTGAACAGACTGCGACCCACACACCACAGAAACTCACATGCTGAACAGTGTAAACTTTACATTATAACAAATGTAAAGGTAAAAGAACAGAGAAGGTTCTCAAGATGCAGATAACTGCAGCATTTCTTCCACCAGATCCTCTGAGCACTGTAAATTGGGGGGGGGGGGGGAGATGCTTCAGGGATGTTGTAACCAACATTTGAATTCACCCTGCTCAAACTGCCTGCTTTGTCATCAAACTACTTCTTTGACTGCATCAAAGATCTGATCACAAGTACTGCAATAAGTTTTGCATCTGTGCAGTTGCAATATTCAGCATGAGGCCAGAAAAGTGATTATGCAAACTTGATTACTATGGCCCAGGTCATCATAGAATGTTTCTTTCCCAAGTAGCTAAGCTGGTAGTATGTGCTGCTTTTGTGCCTGAAGATATGACTGTCAAAACCCTTTGTTGGGGGGGGGGGGGGGCACCGCTTCCGCTATATATCTCTCTAAGGTACAAACCATTCTGGCTAAGAAAGGCCTGGTTGACTTCACTTCTTGTTCCTAGGCTGAGAGCTGCTCATCTCTAAACTAATACATTAATTGTGTAATCCTAAACAGTCACACCCTTCTAAATCCACTTTAATTAATGGGCTTTGAAAGATGCAACTCTGCTTAGGATAGCACAGTAGGATTGCTCATTGGATCTGCTGAAGATGAAACTAAATACCCCTTCCTTCAGCATCAGATATACAGAGAGAAAAAGACAAGGTTCCTGGCTGTGCAGAGCTTAGCCCTAACGAAGAAACAAGCTATTATGTAAAGTGTTTTTTCTTTCTTTCCACAAAAAATGCTACTGGCTTGGGAGCACAGGACAGCCATGGCAAAGTATTATGAGAAGAAACTTAACATAATTATTCTGTTATCTGCACAGTTCCCTTGCCGTTCTTATTAATGAACATTGGGACAAATAGCTATTAACAGAGGGTGACACCTTACTCCTGTGTGTTGCTCACTGTGAAATATTTTATGTACTGGAGACATCTGATGTCCAGCACATGGGGAAGGGAAAACAGTTTTAGAATGCACATATGTAAGTAAATGCAAACTGTTCAAATGCTGAGCTGTTTGCAACTTGAGAACATAATTTTTTGAAATTCAACCTTGTGATTATATCACTTAGTTTTTTGTGGTTTGGAATTCCAAAGATTTTGTAGTTTGAAATTCTAAGAAAAAGACACTGACAAGTTATGAATGATTAAAACCGAAAAAAAGGCAACCAAGGGCTCAAATATATAACACAACAACAGCTGGCACAAGCGTATTACTGTGCAGGAAAGCAAGATTTTTAAATATATTACTAATACACATAACATAAGAAGACCCCTGCTGAATCAGACCAGTGGTCCAGCATCTTGTCTCACACAGTGGCCAATCAGTTCCTCTGGAGAGCCAACAGCAGGGGATAGAGGCCAATATCTTCCCTCCTGCCTCCTGGCACTGGGATTCAGAGATTGATTGCCTCTGAATGGCAAGGTTCCCTTTAGCCACCATGGTTAGTAGCCACTGACAGATCTGTCATTAATCTATCTAATCCCTTTTAAAAGCTGTCTATGCCTGTGGCCATCACTACATCCTCTGGTAGTGAATTCCACATTCTAATCACTCTCTGTGTAAAGAAGTATTTCCTTTTGTCCATCCTGAATCTACTGTCTATCAGCTTTATTGGATGCCCTTGAGTTCTAGTATTTTGGGAGAGAGAGAGACATTTATCTTTGTCAACTCCCTCCACCCTGTGCATAATTTTATAAACCTCTATCATGTCCCCCCTTAGTTGGCTTCTTTCCTAAACTGAAAAGTCACAACTCTTCAGCCTTTCACCACAAAGAAGGTACTCCAACCCCCTAATCATCTTGATTGCCCTGTTCTATTCCTTTTCCAGTACTGTGATGCCCTTTTTGAGATATGGTGACCAGAACTGTACGGAGTATTCCAAAGGAAGCCACACCATAGATCTACACAGGGGTATTATAATATTGGTCATTTTATATTCATTCCCGTTCTTAATAATCCCTAACACAGAGGTTGTCTTTTTCACGGCTGCAACACAGGGAAGGACCAGTTGGTGTGTTGTATATCAAAGGCGGCATACAATCAAATAAGTTAGGAAAAAGTCGGGAATTAACTACCCAACAGAATCAATATGGATGGAAATACACAACACTACATTCTGAAATAATAGGGGTTTTTTTCCGGGGAACATAAGTTTAATTTATGGGACTGACACAAGTGTCTACTTGATGAACCCAAATATATTTATAAGTAAAAAAACCCCTTTCAAACAGAAACACTTTAAACCAACTGCATAATGAAAACCTGCTGGGATAAACCTAATGTACTTCTGTAGTGCACTTTATTATAATACAATAATTTTATAAAGTCAGACACACAAGTACTTGTAAGCTAATATTTTATACTTCTGATTGTAACATTTAACATACCATCAGCCAGGGGTCATTTCCTGCGGGAGCACACAGGAGCGGAGCTCCGGCAGTAAGCAGCCCAGGAGGTGGGCACATGCAACAAGCCCCGCCCCCTGCTCCCAGCAGCCAGGTAAGTTGCAGACCCGCCCCCAGCCCGCCTTCAGGTACAAGCCCTCCCTCCTCTGTGAGGGCAGATCTGCACGTTCCCCCCCCCCATAGCTAGCAATCCAAAACAGTCCAGTGGCACCTTTAATACCAAGTTTTATTCAGGTACAAGCTCTCCCTCCTCTGTGGGGGGAGATCTGCACGTTCCCCCCCCCCCCAGCTAGCAATCCAAAACAGTCCAGTGGAGCCTGAGCAGTGGGTGTTGCCCTCTGACACACTTCTGGTGATGTCAGGGGGTGTGGCATATGCAAATAAGTTATGCTAATGAGCTCCTGCACCTTTTTCTACGAAATGACCCCTGCCATCAGCCATGTCCTGTCAACTATACCTATATTCCCAGATGACCTTTACAGAGTCACACACATGCCAGCCAGATAATAATCTGGTCACTGCATACACAGACTGAAAGACTGTTGAAGGAAAACAGATTTTTCAAGCATTACCAGAGAATGATCCAGAAACATTATCACCCTTTCCAGGGAATCCAAAGGGAAAGTTAATATCTATTTGAAAAGCAAAGGAAACAGATGAAATTACCAGCATAACAAGTGTTGCCAATAATCTTGTGGGTTCAAACATCTTCTTCAGCTGCTTCACAGGACCCATCAAGAAGCAAGTACTGGTTTAGAATAAAAAGGGGGAAAGAATGCTTATATTAGCTGAATCAAAGTAACTGATTTAATTTATTACATCTGCTTATTAAATTTAAAAAAATTCAAGAAATAAATTTTAGAGAGTCAACACTGCTGAAAGTGCTAAACTGCTGCCAGAATATGCACAAATATTTCTTACTTCTCCTGGGATGCTCAAAAGAGGCATCCAAACATATGTGATTATTGACTACTTTGTGTCTAACCTAGGGTGGGCAAGGCACTAGAGTTATTTAATAACATATGTAAGAACAGTGGAACAGGATGCAGATTCATTGTACATATTTCCATATTTTATCACAAAAACATGTTAGGGTTGCCTCTAATCCTAAAAAGACTAACCATGTCAATTTAAAAATAAATAGTTGTCTTGTCAGATGAATTATTGTTCAGCGAATATATAAAGTACCAGCAGAAAACCTTTAAACTCACCTTCTTTCTTGACATCTCAAAACATAATTTAATGACCTTTATTTTTCTCTGAAATACTGTAACTATGCAAAATTTAGGTGACCCTATCTTTCAGAAAGAAATCTTACCAACTATATCCAAATATCAAGCAATTTATACAAGACAATTCACTTTCATTTTAATAAGATATCATGTGAAGTATTCATGGTATTTGAGCATTCAGAGATCTCTCCAAGTAATGGAAATATAACCAATGCCTTTCTTTAAAAAATAGCAACAAGAAATTCCTCTATACCTGGCTAATGCAGCAATGTTTCCTAAGGTGTAGAATACAGCAAAAAGCTTCATGCCGCCAACTGGAACCCAGAGCATTATCGTCCCCTAAGTAAAGAAAAGCCAGTTGATAACTGTGCAATGAAGTAAATCGAAATCACAATTATTACTAAAATAAACACACACACACATTGTGATACTATATGTTATGGGAGGGCCTAGAATAGGCAGCACCCCCCCCCCCTGAAAACATCTCTAGAAGACAGAAATTCACCCAAGGCTTTTGGTTAATGGAGCATACATTCTTTATTAAGGATGATCATCCTAGTGCCTGCAAGACCAGAGCATGCAAGCACACTCACCATATACCAACAACTGGATGTACTAAAGGTAATTAACCGACATCAAAAATTTAGTGGTGGTAGACTTATTATGGAAGTGCCAAAATGTGCAAGTTTAATGGAAAGTAGAGCAGAAATATTTTAAATAAAGTATCGAAAGAAGCTGACTCTACAGTAATTTACTCTGTGAAGTATCGCTATCGGGAAAAGGTACATTTTAGAAATGACATATTCCAAGACCCCAAAGTACTGTTTAAAAGAATATTATGAACAGTATCTCCAGTATGGGTGCTTCCTGCCATAAAGGCATAAAGTCAAGTTTATGCTGTCCAGAGTTACATGTACCTAGTAGAAATGCGAAGCCTCAGAAAAAGTTGGAAAAGTGTTCTTTTCTAGTTTTTTGCATTGGAAAAATTAAACATTTTGGGAAACACTGAAAATGTCCTATGAAACAATCTCTTTTTAAAGATAAGGTGTTATTCAACATGCTAAGAACTATACAGTATGAAGATATTTATGTAATATTAGATAATGTGTATACAGCAGACATTTAATTGTTTAAACATTAGTTTTGTTCACAACATGCTATACTACACTAGTAATACTCACTCATTAGTACAGGAGCCACATGTAGCTTTTTGACATGCCCACCTGTGCCTCTCATGAGCACTCTTCCCCATGAAACCTGCCCTAAATTCTGGAAAGTGGGCAACTTTAGAAATTTCATCACTACTATGGGACCAAAATAAGACTAACAGCTTTATTTTTAAAATATACCACAATTTGCCAATGATCATTCTGTCAAGTTTGTGGAGATGAAGGGTTCCTTTGTAGGAGGCTGGGCCAACATGGGCAACTGAATCAGAGCTGGAATGGAGCATAACCCATAATACAAAATTCCTTGCAAGCAGAAAACATAGCATGAAGAGACGTTCTAACCATTCTCTCCTGCAACACTAGAATTCAGCTTAAAGGAACTTAACACAGGGAAACATTAACATCAGACTGATAGAGTTCTGAAGCACTTGAAAGCTTACACACTGTTTTGTGACGTGTGAGTATTTCCCTTCACTCCAGCTATCCAAGGGCTGGCTAAAGTTCAACAGTGCCAAGGAAACAAAATCCTACATGCTCAGAGGTACTATAATAATAAAAAAGAGTTATATTATTGTTATGTATAATTGTTTATGTGTTTTGGGGTGGTGTAGTCCTGTGCCTCTTCTGGTTGATGGGAAATGTCAATGTGCCTCTCCATGATCTGTGGAGTGAGCACCACTGTACTATATTACTGAACATGTCAGTTGTTTAGTTTAACTCAATATACAAATCCATTAACAGTCCTTAATATTCTGAATGTAGAAAGACATTTTCTAACTCCAAACAATAAACCTTTTGTTTCTACAAAATGATTTCTATTTTCAACTTTTATTTTAAAATAGCCAAACAGCTAGTATTTCCTTCATCTATCAGTTACCAGTTAACTTTAAACTCTTCTTCCATATATACCTTCACACACTGTTTAAGATTTATGCTTAGATCTCTCTGCATTACAGAAGAGTGGCAAAGACTCACAGCTAGGCCTTTTCCTTGTAATTCCTATACCGTGAAATTCCCTGCCTGGAGAAATCTTCTAGGCAGCCTCCAACATCTACCAAAAGGCATCGGTTATTAAAGTTTTTTCCTCTTGCCTTGAAAACCCTACTGGATCACCGTAACTCAGCTGTGACTTGACAGCACTTACACAAACAGTTTGGATTAACATTGTCAAGTTTGTTATATTGATACAGATGTTTTATTGACTATATTTTGACTATTGTTACAGTTTGTTTCAGTTTATCACTGAGCTCATTTTTTGTGGATATAGTGTACCCATCAAATCACATATATGCAGTTATGCATATTGCCTACATAAACACACCTTTGAGGGGAAGCTTTCAAATCTACTCGGCTCATGTCATTAATTGCCTCCATACAAGAAACTGGTAAATCTGAGAAAGGTCATCTAGCTGCCAACTTTATATTGATTTCAGCGTAAAGTATGTCTGGGCATCCAATCATTCTGAAGTGGTAGTTTCGTTAAGGCTGTACTTTTTCTTATCTTGCAGACTGATCAATCTTTACCTTTGACCCAAGCAGAAAGAAAGCCATACAGTCCCACAAAATATTTACTTACAAGAATAGAGCACAAAATGCCACCTGCAAAACATATTGCGAACCACTTCACTCGAGTACTAAAACTAAGAGATGAAGAATCCAGCACCTTTGGGAGGGGAAAAGAAAAGGAAGAAGTTATGAGATTTTTATATGACAAAGACATTTAAGAAGAACTCTGCCCATTCAAGAATCATGCCAAAGGCAATAGGGAACCCTTAGCGTACAAGTATAGCCACAAATAACACCCACCAGGGAAGACCATCAGCAATTCACAACTACATATAATCAAATCCCACAGGTTGCAGTTACTTTCTGTTTGGAGGTCTATGGACACTATGTATGTATGGAATTACAGAGGAGCCTACTGTTGGTTTTGAACATGTTCTTTTGTAAATAATGCTTAATTGTTATGAACAATCTGTTGGATATGTGTTTATACATTCTATTGAGTTATGCTCACAACCCCATCTTTGTACTTTAAAGAATGCAATATGCCCATCTCAAAAAAGGTGTATTATGCCATCTTCATGTAACCCCTGCTTCTCCGCCTAAATTGTGTTCAAGGATTCTCAAATGCAGTCAACTAGGCATTCAAAGCCACCCAGCATCTTTTTTTGGCAAGTCTCCAACACAAGATGTGCGGTCTCTGCCCTGCCTCAAGCTCTCAGTGCATTACAGAGAGTTTCGGGAGTGCCCACCACCATCGTCTACCCAGCGATTCGAAAGCTTCGGCAAGTAGATAAATTGGGGACCCCCCTAAGGGGGTGGGCACACCCCTCCCTTCAGGAAGGTGTGAGCTGCCGAGGCAACTTCTGAGGCGCAGCGACCAGAAAGATGAAAGAGCTGTGTCGGCTTCCCTGCAGTGGAGCGAGTCGGCCAGGCGGTGGCAGTGTGTGGCTGCACAACATCAAGAAGCCGGATGTCATCAGCCAGCCGACAAGATGCCGTAGGAACACGACTGACCCAGTCCGCAGATGAAGCCCGGCTAGCTGCAATGTGTGTGTAATTAATGCTGTATGTTTGTCTTCCCTATCCCCACAAATATTGTTAGTCCAACTGTCTCAAGAGTAACTGTAAATCGCTCTGAGCCCACAGGTATGTGGGAAAGAGCGATCAATAAATCAAAAGCATTATTATTATTATTATTATTATTATTATTATTATTATTATTATTATTACAAGATCAGATACAGAGCCTACTTCTGCCTCAAGTTCCTGGCACACACAGAGAGCTCATGTAAAAAGTCATGGTCACTTCATATCAAGCTTTAGAGAGCAGTGTGGGAAGAGAAAAAAAACCCCTAATATGCTGCTCCCCCCCCCCTTTTTTTGCTTGTTCCAGGGGAATGTGGGGAGGAACAGGGCTACAAGCAACTACAAATAATGACTTATCTACTAAACCAGATTAAAATCTGTGGACTCCCTGAATGTCTCCTTTTCACTACTATGCTGCCTGCCTGCCCTAACCTTGAAGGGCAAATATCCTTAACTGTGTAAAAGCAAATGTATACAGTGCAAACAGTCTCTATATGATGCACTGTATATAGGGACTGTTTGCACTTATATACTAACATTCCTTTGTTTCTTTTTGCGTGGCCTTTGGTAATCAGTACCTTTTGTGATTTCTTACAGAGGTCTACCCCCTCTTTTTCACTCTCTAACCTTGAAGAGACTATGACACACTAAAAACAATGTTATCTGTTGCTCTGGTCTAACCCATCCCTATTCTCATGATTCTTATTAGAAACCAGACACATTATTCTGTGAATGAGTCAACCTCCAACCACTTCTCCCCTGCTCAAACCAACAATAGTTTTAGATATGTACATACAACTTACCTTTTCAAATCCAAATCTTTATCCTTCCATAGGCAGCAGGGAAAAACACATTAAAAATTCAATAACCCCCCACAGAGTAATACAAACGATGCACTCCTAAACACAACATGCTAGTATGTGACCTTGTCCCCATGTGTTGAGAAATTCTAGCACTCAAAGAGCTTCAAATACTTTTGACTGTCATGAGAAAACACTGCAATGTATATCAAGCTCCATTTAGAAACAAACAGAAAAGGCATAATGACCCCAATGCTAGAAGACTGTCTTATTTATTTATTTATTTCATTGTATTTATACCCCGCCCTCCCCGCAAACAGGCTCAGGGCGGCTTACACACGGCACAAAGTGCATATAGTATATAAAATAGATAAAGAAAAAGAGACTGGATTTATACCCCGCCCTTCACTTGGAGTCTCAGAGCGGCTTGCAAACTCCTTTCCCTTCCCCTCCTCACAACAGACACCCTGTGAGGTGGGTGGGGCTGAGAGAACTCTGACACAAACTGCTCTTTTTCAAGGACAGCTGTGCCAGAGCTTATGACTGACCCAAGGTCACATCAGCAGGTGCAGGTGGAGGAGTGGGGAATCAAACCCAGTTCTCCCAGATTAGAGTCTGCACACTTAACCACTACACCGAACTGGCTCTTAAATTTTAAAACAGTTAAAATTCGATTCCATCGGATGCAAATATAAAACTCCCCAAAAGCTTCATTTGGTATGCTAGGTTCTGTTCACTTATAGACACTTTCCAAAGAACCAATTTTATTTGTCTTATTTAGTGCAGTATCACAAGCACTAGGATACCCATCGTATGACTGTGTATGCTAGAATCTTAAAACATGAGAATACTATCTCAAGAGGATTATCAGCTTTCTGAATCTGTAACTTATATTCCTAGAGCAACAATTATTATTTATTAAAACATCTGTACCCCACTTACAACAACTGTTAAACATTTCCAGTTAACCAAAATAAAGTAACAAACCCCAAATCTCTCCCTCCCTTCTTCTCTTAAAAGCTGCCTGTTATTCAAACCCTCTTAAAAGTCCTATCAAACTAGCAGGCCTAAGACCAACTGTGAAAAAATTCATTCTTTTCTGGCAGGTTTGAAATGAGCAAAACCTCTATGTTGTATTTTTAAAGTTATTTTCCCTCTGGGCAGAGAACAGGCCGGGGGGGGGGGGGAGTCAGTCCCATAGCTTTCCAGCTTACTTAAACAGATCTAGCAGGAGAGATAATGGTCAAGCTCTCCCCCTTCCCCAAGCAGAGAACAGAGATTTGGAGGTGTTAAATGCTAGAGAGTCTTCAGGAAGGAAAACTCTGGGAACATCAGAAAAGGCTTCTCTGACCTGGCCTTACTGGGTCAATGGGTGGAGAACCAGCTTTGACAAAAAGTCCTTACAGCAGGAAGGAGGTCTCCTTTCCTTTGGTGCCGAGTTTGTGAGTGGACCTCTCTACCGGGAAGGCAGCCATTTGACCATGTGCTCACCTAAAGAGTTGGAGCAAGCTTTAAGGTAATGGCAACTCTGTAGCATCTAGAACTCCTAAGCTAAAGAGCCTGTCCAATATTTTAAGATCTGATATGACATGTATAGAGAGAGGGACAGAGGATTTGTTTTATCTACCTCCCTTGCTCAATCTGGTGCTGTGCTAAAAGTATGCTTGTGAACATTTTCTTTTTAATAATACTTTATAACTTTTGATGCTTCCAGAGGTTCTCTGTACCACGTAGACCTCCACCGTCCCAGACATGCTATTTTAAGAGAAGCCCTGGGGGAAGGCAGACAGTTGGCAAGTGGCTATTCCTCCAGGGGTGTGCCACTTCCATTTTAGATTCCTTCCAGTCCAGTTTTCACCCAGGCCACAAGATGGAGACAGCACTAGTCGCCCTCATGGATGATCTCCAGAGGCATCTGGACCAGGGCAGATCGGCAGTACTGTTGTTGTTGGACCTGTCGGCAGTGTTTGACATGGTCAACCATCAGTTACTTATCCGCCACCTCGCCAACACTAGAGTCCAGGGGCCTGCTTTGCAATGGCTCGCCTCCTTCCTTCAGAGTCAGGGACAAAGGGTGGCACTAAGGGTACATCTATTCCTAAAGCACCCACTGACCTGTGGAGTGCCCCAAGGGATGGTGCTTTCCCCGATGCTAACATCTATATGTTCCCCCTTTCCCAGAGGCATGGGCTGGGATGTCACCAGTATTTCAATGACACCTAGATCTATCCGCTGTTTGGCAGCCAGTCTGACTCCAGACCAGAAGATCTGGACCAGGCATTACAAGCTGTGGCTGGATGGCTTAGACTGAGCCGACTGAAATTGAATCCGACGAAGACAGAGGTCCTGTGTCTGAGCCAAGGTGGCCTGAAGATCTGCCAGCACCGAAGGTTACGAGTGCTCTTGAATGCCTCCCTAACAATGGAGGCCCAGGTAGGAGCCAGTGCCAAGTCAGCCTTTTATTATCTTTATTATCTTCGAACACAATGACTTGGCAACAGTGATCCATGCGATGGTGTCATGATCTGTGTAGGATTGGGAGATGGGGCCTGGTGCGGTTTGGTCCCAGGAGAGACCTGCATGGCAGTGGAAAGCAGACATAGCCTACAATCACCACAATCCTTAGCGACAGCTGTAGTCAATCCGTGTCCAGGGATTGTGTGAAGAGACTGTTATATACTTTGTGAGCTGTGGAAAACGGTGTTCTTTCTCTTCTGCAGTCTTGTCTCTCACAGAGCTAAACGGAGGGGACAGTCTGGTCTTAGGAAAAGATCCCTCATTTGGGACAGAGTGAGTACAGGCAGGATGCCTGGTATAAGAGGGCTGTGGGCCTTGAAAAAGTAACTAGTTAAGTGAAATAGGTAGTTGCGTTAGATTTGATTATTTTGCCTTTAAACACTGCTATATATTTTAAGCACCTTGTCTTGTTTTCAATGCCCCATTACTGTGTTAATAAACCATTTGTTTAATGTTCTCTGCCTGGTCATCATGCCTATAGTTTCTCGGCTTGAAAAGGGGCATTTTGGACGGACTTGGGAGGGTATTCTGGGTTTTCTCAAGGGACCCGAAGTCCAGTGTGGTGGCAGCTGAAGGTGGCAACCCGCTGGGGGTCATGACAGATGGTCACCTTGAGACTGTAATGCTCTCTACATGGGCTGCCCTTGTCCCAAATCCGGAAGCTGTAGCTGGTGCAGAATGTGGCGGCCAGACTGTTGTTGCGTCTCCCTATGTGGGAGCACATCCAGCCTGCACTAAAAACACTGCACCGGCTATCTATAGCATACCGAATTCGCTTCAAGGTGCTGGTTCTTACCTTAGGGACCACCTTTCCCCACATATTCCCCAGAGAGCACTGCGGTCAGGGTCCCAAAATCAACTGGCCCTCCCAGGCCCCAAAAATGCCAGGATGGCTATAACCAGGGCCAGGGCCTTTTCAGTGGCAGCTCCGTACTGGTGGAATGAACTCCCAGAAGAGATCAGGGCCCTGCGGGTCCTTTTACAGTTCCGCAGGACCTGCAAGACACCAGGGCTTCCACCAGGTCTTCAATCAAGGAGCCACATCACTGGAAAGTGAGCTCTGTGCCTTGGTTTTACCATCAACAGCCTGTGTTTGCCGCATAAATAAATAGATCAAGTTAGATCACCTGAACATACCATCATGACTGTTACTGCCATTTTAAGCAATGGTATTAGCATTAGACCTACTGTTAGTAGCACTTTACAATATTTGGATTGTTTTATGATTATTTTATGATTGTTTTATAATTGTTATTTATGTGTTTGAATATTTTATGTAAGCCGCCCTGAGCCTGCTTCAGCAGAGAGGGCAGGGTATAAATTGAACTAATAAATAAATATCAGCTTTCACAGAAAATCTAGGGGGCCAGCAAAACCACTCTCCTAGGTTACAGGCTCATTAAAATCCCAGTTATAGTTTAAGATGTTTCTATAGCTCTTACAGTTTTAGAGTCAAGCTCCAGAACTGTAGAAGAAACAAGGGCCAATTAAAATGGGCTTTTTAGCCAGAATTATTATTTACATCTCAGAAGTTTATCCTTCCTCTTAGATTCCTGTTCATGATGTTGAGGCAGTTTTTCATAGCAAGATCATTGCAAAGCAATCTAAGTGTGTCCATAAACTACTCTAACATCCTGAAAATAACACACACATGCTTAGCACTTCATAAGGACACAGGATATGACACCTCATGCTGAACAAATGGCTCTGGGTTTAACAGAAATGGTTAGAAGGTGTAAAGACAAAGCAAGAAGAAAACAGCTTTGAGCTTAAAGGAAGTCCAATTGTAAAGCAGCTTCTGGATTGGCATCTTGGAGCCGTAATGCACAAGCTCTGCATACAAGGTACATAGAAGGTTCAGCACTGCAGCCACTTAGCTGATCATGCTAAAAAAGTGTAACTGAATGCCTCTGATGAAGACAACAAGAAAGCCCCAGGGAAAAATTCTTTCATTACCAAATAAATGCACTATTGGAAGAATGACTAGGGACTGAAGGGGAAAAGAACAACTTCAGTATGTTTAGCAACTTCAGTACACACACACACACTTTTTTGGCCAGGATTGCACAAAAGTATCCTCCATATCACAGTTGACTCCCACCTTATGGAATGGCCTGCCCAAAGTCAGGAAAGCTCCCACTCTCCAGGCTTTCCACAAGCTATACAAAACTGTGCAGGTAATAGGGTTGCAGTGTACAAAATGATCTACAAACTTACTTGGAGAAATGATAAATATAAAAGTATAGGGACTGTGGTCTATACTGCTGTGTACAACATACAGTAAGTAGGATCCTATTACATAATTTCTGCACTGCTTAATGTGCAAAGATAATATTTATGCTATGCTTCAGTTCTAGCATTTAGATGTCTGGCTGGTTCCAGGCTTCTACAATTTGTGTGCATTATTTATCTTCCATTTTGTTGATTGTGTTTACTCACTCTGTGTATAAGCCTTGAGTCCCTGTGGGAAAGGTGGGCTATGTATAACACAAATAAATACTACTTCCTCCTCAAGACCAACACGATATGACCATCCCAACACTTTTTTCCAGGCATTGCTGAATTCTCATAGCGTGAGCCCTCTCCTGAGTCCCAGGGGACTAGGGGCAGGGGCAAAACAACAAACCTAGCCAAAATGCATGTATTGCTTGCTTTGCTCCTACAATCCTCTTGAATGAAATCTCTCGAACTTTATCCCAATAATCCTACAACACGCGTTCTAAATCAGGGCCACACTGCATCTACATTTGCTCCTATCTTCTTAATCGGAACTCTCTGTTTCAATTGATTCAAACACAGAAGAAAGGGAGATTCACCCAAGACAGTTGAAGAATAACTTAAAGGGAGAAACCGCAAGAGCGGTGCGGCCTAATATCCCTCGCGCGCTTACTCGGGAGGAAGTCAAAGTAGGAGGACGTTGGAGAGACGCCTGCCAGCCATACCTGTGTCGTCAGCCCTTGCTCCTCGTCATCCTGCCCGCTCAGCACCCGGCGGAGCTTCTCCATGGCTGCTTCCGAGAGCCTCGAACTGCTACCACCGAACACCCACCAGCCGCTCACACGCCCCTCAGCTGACCCCCCGCGACTCACTTAGCCCCGCCCCCGAGCCACGGCCGACCCGGAAGTCACGAGACCGAGGGGGAAAACTGGAAGCACGTTGGCCGCTTCAACTGTCACAAGAGTGGCCGCCGCTTGGCGAGTCTTCGAATCCTCTCGCGTGTACTCCCCGCCCCCCAAACCTCATTGGCTCTTCTCGAGTGGCTGAAATAGCGACCCCAGGCACCCTTTGACCACTCGGCTTGTCCCATTCGTAAAGAGCGGAAGGGCGAAAGCGCACACTTCCGGGTTTCATGTAAATATCACCGTTTGCGGGGCAAACCCATAATAATATGGTAAAGCAATACCGCCCGGCCTGCAGATTTACGTGGAGACGTGGCGCGAGGAGCACAGTTGGACCTTTGGAATCAGGGGCGCCCGGCGGAGCCGGCAAGAGGCCGGGGAAGCTTTCGCGGGGAACCCGCAGGCGGCGCGTGGCGGGCGTGGGGCGCGGGCGGCCATGGCGCTTTAAGGAGCGCCTCTTCGGCCCTTCTGGAGGCAAAACCACTCCTTGCGGAGACCACTCTAGAGGCAAAACCACTCCCAGTGGAGACGATGCGCGAGGAGCGCAGTTGGCCCTTAGGAGAGCTGTTCCGGAGGCAGCTTGGCCTGGAAAGGGTTAATAAAAATGCGAGAGTTAGCGTGTTTTCAGTTCTAGAATACTGTTCTGGAGTGGCTGTGATTTATGCCACTGTTTTTTGCGGTACAGTTGTGTATTTAATGCCCGTTCCGGAGGCAATTTGGCCTGGAAAGGGTTAATAAAAGTGTGAGAGTTCCGTGTTTAGTTCCCGTTCCGGGCCCGTTGGGGCTTTTACCCTGTCCCTTCAGAAACAAAGACTTCTCCCCCCCCCCCCAAGGAAACACGCCCTTCCCCAGAGCTCTGTCCCTTTAACCCTTTCCGTGCTGCACCCGAAGGCAAGAAGGCTTCCTGCCCTTCCCAGGAGGACCGGACGGACAGCAGTCAGCGGTGCCCCGATCCGGGGGTGGTTTTAAGATTGCATGGAAAAACGTGCGCTTCTGTAACATCCTCCCGGTTTCTCAAAAACCAAATGCCAGTGAGCCTCAGCTCCCTCTCGCTTCCTGGGTCCTGTTGTGACCAGTGCTCCCTCTCAGCTGAGTGTGAGCTGGCTCACAGTTTTTTAGCATCCGGCTCACACACTTTTTTCTTGGCTCAGGGAGGATGGCTGCAGAGAGCAAACTGATTTATGCAGTAGCCACATCGCTTGCTCACAACTTTAATGCCGGTAGCTCACAAATTTAGAATTTTTGCTGCGAGACTCCACAGCTCAGAGAGAGCATTGGTTGTGATTCTTCCCTACTAGATAGGGTCGCCATGTCTGGTTTGTGAAATTCCTGGACATTTGACCGCCTTCTCTGCCCTCAGAGGGTGTTTTTTTTTGGGGGGGTATTCAAATAACTATTTTGAGGTTTGGGAGGAGTCTAAGGAAGGGCACCCCCTTAACTCGTTTTTTGGTACTTGCAAACAGTGTCCCCTCCAAGCTGAGTGAGTGTGAACTGGCTCACAGTTTTTCAGCCTCCGGCTCAGCATTTTGGTCTTAGCTCAGGGAGGAGGGCCCCAGAGCAAACTAGTCTAATGCAGCATCCAAATCACTCGCTCACAGCTTTAATGCCAGTAGCTCACAAAAGACTCCACAGCTTAGAGGGAGCATTGCTTGCAAACAGTTTTAGGCAGGGGTCATTTCGTAGAAAAAGAGGTGCAGGAGCTCATTAGCATAACTTATTTGCATATGCCACCCCTCCTGACATCACCAGAAGTGTGTCAGAAGGCAACACCCACTGCTCAGGCTCCATTGGACTGTTTTGGATTGCTAGCAATTGGGGGGGGGGATGCGCAGATCTGCCCTCACAGAGGAGAAAGAGCTTGTACCTGAAGGCGGGCGGGAGGCTCTGCAACTTACCTGGCCTGACTGAGGGCTGCTGGGAGCAGGGGATGGGGCTTGTTGCATGTGCCCACCCCCTGGGCTCCTGACTGCCGTGGGTCCGCTCCTTTGCACTCCTACAGGAAATGACCCCTGATGATAACAAATGTAAACACCTGGGCAAAAAAAGCCTGGTTGAAAGCCAAGGGATTTTTAGAAGCGTTCATCTAATAAAATATGGTCCTTCTTAGTGTACCCTATGGGTTTAGAAGAATCCAGATTTCAAACCTGAAAGCAAGTATGGTATAGTGGTTAGAGTGCCAGACTAGGAGCTTGAAGACTTCAGTTCAAATCTTCTCTCTGCTATGGAAGGTTGCTGGGTAGTTGGGAGGATAGAGGACAGGAAAAGGATGTAAACCACTTTCAGTCCCCATTGTGGAGAAAGCGTAAGGGTATAAATGAATAAATTCCAGAAGATGGTTGATGTCATCAGGTAACTTACCCTATTTGATGTCCTTCCTTCTGGTCAGCTTGCATATCAGTTCACGTGATATCCACCTTAGTGGGCAGTTATGGCCCCTGAATGTAACAGCAATCATGAATATATTTCTTTATCAGTACTAGTGTATGAGGTCATGCTAGAACTCTACAATGCAATTAGCTTTCAAACAAGAAAGGTGTAAGGATTCCTTGTTTTAGTGAGTGTGTGTCTTTAAATGTTTGGTTTGAGTGCAGTGCTGGAAAGAGAGTGATAGAGACAAGTGTGCTGTGATTGGTGGATGACTGAGTGTGGAAGGAGTTGTTCTGAGTGAATCTGTGTGTGTGTTTTGAGGGAATTCAGTGAGTGATATGACAGAGTTCTGTGTGGAAACTTAGAGTTCTGTGTATGTGTTCTTGGAAAGTGAAGTGTGGAAGAGCTATGAGGAGAGCCTGTGTGACTCTAAAGTTTTGAGAGCGTTCATAAGACAAAGAGCTTAGCCAGCATGGATGCCCATATGAGAGATTCCTGCCAGTGTGGAATTTTAGTGTCAGAAGGACTGCGTTTGAATACCTACCCAGTTATATTTACAAGTTCTTTATTCCCAAACAGTTAGATAACCAGCAACTTATTTTTGTTCTTTAATCAATAAATCAAATTTTGTTTAAGTATATCCCAGATTTCAGTTCAATTCTTCCTCAGCGCCACATAAACCTCTGACATGCCCAGACCCTATGTCACATTACCAGTAGCAGAGAGAGATTTTTGGAATATTGAATTCCTGGTGGCAGCAGAAACTACCCAGTTTATATACAAAGAGTAATTTTAAAGTAAAAACAGACCCCCCACAAATAAGCAGCATGCCACAGAGTATGATTTAAAGGAAACACAGCCCCCCCCCCCCCAATAGGAAGGACGCTACAGGAGGGTGATAGCAGCAGCTTGTAAATGAACCCAGCTCTATAAAAGATTAATAGCAGCAATAAAAGGATAAAGGGGAATTTTGCCATGTTTCAAACTTCTCAGATGCTATACATCAGATGCTATACAATCTGATTGCCATTTGCCAGCTGATAGCTTACCATACTATATCAATAACCATCTGGTTAGTGAATGGTGTATAAAATCTTGTCAAATGGGACAGAGAATACAATTTTCCTGCTTCACACATTTCTGATCAGGTCAGCTTCTATGGTTAAAATTTCACCATGTGGCAGGACATAAGAGGACCAATTTCTAGTTTCTCAAAGACCAGGGGGTGGTCTTGTCTACTCAGAATAGAGCAAGGAAATCACCTTACCTGGAATTTTGTGACTACTGTCCTCATCTTTGGCAGGAGTTCACCCATCTTTATCTATACATCTAATTCTCAAGTGTGGCCACCAGCTACAGATATCTAAATTTACATATTGGGGCCACACTGACATGAAACTTGTCTGCAAACTTTGGGGGACCCTTCAAGTTTTTAAAAAATCTGACATCTAAAAAAAATACACAGGAATTTAAATTCCCTCCCAGCATTATCTATGCATCTGCCGACAATGCAGTTAATCTTTTCCTTCACAGTTGGCGTTGGCGTCTGGGCACCTCTCTAAGCCCAGCCACTGTGGCATCTGGGCTCCTCTCTGGAACCAGAGGAGCTTCCAGACACCAATGCTGCCATGGCCAACTTCAGAGGCCTGGTGCTGTGCCCCTGCCTTGGCAACAGGGGAGCCACTCCGGATCTGGAGCAGCCTCCAGACACCACAGCTGCCATGGCCGGTAAGGAAGGTGTAGAAAGAGAGATGGAGGGAATATTACCCAAAAAGAGGAAGTGGGGAGAATATTCCCAAAGGGGGGGGGGGGAGAAGTGGGATTGTCAGAAGGGGAGGGGGAGAAATAAAGAGGGGGTAGGTGGACTGAGAAGGGGGAAGAAAGAGGGGGGGATTGTAAAACGGGGGAATAGAGTGCAGGATAGATTGATGGAGAATGGGAAGAAGTAGAGGGGGTAGACTGACAGAAAAGCAATGGCAAAAGACATGGGTGGTAGGTTGACTGATAAGGGGAGGGGGAGAAAGGGGGGAAATTATCAGAGAAGGGAGGTGGGATAAAGAGAGTGGGGAAGACTGACAGAAGGGAAAGGGGTAAGAAGGGAAAGATTGTTAGAGAAGGGGGAAGAGGGAAGAAAATAAAGGGAAGAGGGAAAGGAGCAAAGGGGGCGGAGGGATGCACTCTCCCTGCAAGTTTCTTGTGCATCCCCACTTATATAATGTAATTCCCAAGTATTTTACAGAGGTCCCTCCAACATAATGTTCTTCATAAAGTTTTGATTTCATTCTTTGATCTGGAAATTACTGCCATTTAGAGCTCAGCCAAAACTTCTTGAACATTCTCATTATCATCAAGAAATGGTCCCCTCTGGGGACAGTCTTTTATATTCCTTGCAAATGATTCTGTATTTGTTCAAATTACCCTCATTTATACTCGGCACTGTCAACATATTGCTAAAGACAACTGACTAGCTAGTGTGTGTGTGCGTAAGCCTTTTATGGCACATGTTCATTTGGGGGGGATTTACTGTTTTAAAAACAACAATTCCATGTGAACACAGGAGACCAACGTAGAAGTGGAATAAAATCAAAGCTGCACTATACGTTAAGGGACTAAGTAAGAGCTATGCAGCCACACTAGTAAAAATAGTTGCTATCAAACCACATGGTGGCAGACTCTGCCTACAAAATAAGCAGGCATGGAAATTATGGAGAATGATAGGCAATAATACTCTGATAACCTGGAAAATGGAGAATCCTAGTGTACGCATACAGAAACCTGCACACATTTGTATATAGGTACATAGATTAGGCACATGGGGCCCTTGATGTGGAAGTCAGGGGCATGGGCTGTGAGCTGCAAACCTATCTCATTTCTCCACACATTCATTTAACTCTAGGCAAATGGCTGAATAGGGCTACGAAGCCTAATTTAAAATAACTAGATATAAAAAGTGTGATTGGCATTATTTGAAACTGCTTGTTAGGCCTTGCCACTAGCTACAGGACTAAGTTCTTGCACAGTGGGTAACTTTATTCCAGTCTGCAGGCCAGTAGCACTCACTTCCAAATTAGCATCACTAGAAATAAAGAGAAAACACCTGTTTATTTTTACCAATGTATTAATATTAATTTGGAGGCCATTATAATTGAAATGGACCTCATAAGGAAGCCTATCCTTCATAGACTTTCTGTACAATTCAATGATGCAAGTTAAATATTATTAACCATGTCGAAAATCACAAAATTCCCTCAAAATATTTTATTGCCATTAGTTTGATTAAAATTTTCATTATCGTAACTTCTCCCTATTGGGACTGTTTACTGCTCTCAAAGTTGTTGCACTGAAAATAAAATTGTTGAATACGTTCTGTACATTGTGTGTTACAGCTGCTGACGTAAGACACGTTCTCTGGAAACAAGTGATCAGATTAATTTTAAAAGTTAAACACTTCCAAATCTTTATCCCAAAAAAACTTCAGTCTTGTCTGTGGTGTTTCTTGTTTCACAAGAAATCTTTAGCAAATCTCCAAAAGGCAGACATTATGGAATTAGGACACATTTACAACACTCAGTGTATGGAAATAAATGGGGCAGTCAGACAAACTCTAAGAAAGGAAGATATAGGATTAAGCTGCTCTGCCGACTGGGTACACACAACTCCAGATAGTCACACAGTCAGATGGCACTTTCCTAGGGGGCCAAAATACAGAAATTGCATTGCACATTACTCCAAACCATGCATTTTTAAATCCACATAAGAGCAAAAATAAAGGTTCATGTCTCAAGCCTTCAGATGTTGTAATTTATACAGTGGGCCTTACACAAATATTATGTCCAATGCACCTGAGGCAGGAATACATTCTTACAATGATCCTGCTCCCCCCACCCCTTTGAAGGCTGGGCCACTGCTTGTATAAACCACAAGCAATAAGGAACATTGTTGCCTTCCTTCAGATACCTATGGGGGGTGAGATCTAAGACTTTTAGGGACCCAGAATCAGAAGTAAATATACAGCATTCAAATTAGCAACCTGAGAGCAGTTAGTTGGTAATTCCCCGCTTTCAGTAAGTGCTGGATTGATGATTTGGCAGTCTGTTACATATTTTTAACTGCAGTAACAGCCAGGAATGGGTGTTCCTGAATGCAAGTAGGGTAATACCAAGCACTTGAGACAGAACCTCCACTCTTGAATCTGTACACCTGACTGCCAAATACACACTGAGTTTGCAAGTTTTAACAAACTGCACCAATTAATTCAGTGACAGGTTTCTGCAGCTTTTTGTTACAAACAGCAGACCTTATCCTTCGCAAACAGACTGATGTGCGTATGAATTGAAGAATTTAATAAATAGAAAAATAAAAATGTTGTACTTGTAAGGCAAATTGTTCAATGTAACATTTTCAATTGTTAAGTACTTTTTAAAAAGGCAAGTTACAAAATTTAGTGCATGGGTGACATTAACTGTTGGCATGAATGTGCTCACAACAATGGGAATGCAACAGGAGACACAGCAATTCTGGATGGCAAAGACCTCCATCGGTTGTCATCTGTGAAGAGGAGCACCTTGTTTCTTTCCCTCTTAAACAGATACTCAGTTCTTTTTTTCAAGACTGCCAAGAAAAAATAAGAACAGAACAGAAAAGTACTAATAAATATGTTGACTTGGTTTATGAAGAAAAAGCATTCCTATGAAAGAAAGAAAAAGTTCCTATGAAAGTCTCCTTGTTTCTCCCCAACTATAATGCCAAATTCTCAACTTTACTCACTTGAATTTGATCAGTCTCCCTCCTTGGATAAGTTGTGCGCCTTCATTGGTAAAGTGGCAAGCAAACAGCAACCAGTTCCTGGGCTGCACCTTATATGCAAACCTCATGAATACCAGTGAATAACAGCAAAGTGCTATAAAAGGAAAAAAACCAGTTAGTGGCCTGAGGAACATTGACATAAAGGATACTTTCCCATAATTTCTGCAAATAGGATTTTGAAATATTTAATATTAGCCTCACTTCAATGCAGACGTATCTATATTTCACAATTACATGTTTTCAGATTAACTTCACAGACCAACTAAGATTGAAAACATTGAGAACTACTGCTTAATTGTCAGAATCACCAAAATGTGATTATATTTATCTCATGTTTCCATTCATGGGATTGTACCAAAGCCAAAGATTTATTTTTCAATAAGAAATTCTCTTAAAATCTGAGTGACTACAAAGTTGAGCACCTGTAATGGCACTGGAGAACAAGAGCAAAAGAATACTATGTGCTCCAAATTTTAATTCCATACATGGATAAAGCCACACAGTGCTATTAACCTAAGTAAATCACTAGAGGAACATACAGACAGATCCTATTTCTTACTACCCTTACTGCATTGGATTCAGCCAGCTTTTTCACTCAATCTCACTCAGTCCACCTTTCTCACTTGGACTCAAGGTGGATTACACTGAGTGAAGTCAATACAATTGACAGGATGGGACATTCAGTAAACAATACAATTGGATGAGGTTTGAAGAACCAATCAGAAATCTGAAAACAGAACTGAAGCAAAGCATAAGTATTAACATCACACATCAAATGATGCAAAAATTACCTAGCAGGATCCTAGTTTCAGCAAGCTAAACACAGCAGTACAGAACACAGTCCCTAATAATTTATCTAAATAACTTTGTGAATCATTTATTATGGTGCAATTCTGTTGCCTGAGTAGGGAAGGCCTCTTGAATAATTCAGTTTTGCACAGTTTGCAGAAAACCAGGAGAGTCAGAACCTTCCTGAGTCCCTCAGGCAGACCATTCCATAAGGTGGGGGCCACACATGGCGCTTGTACATGCAGATCTCATGATCCCCAGCACAGCATTTTCTGATGTTCACAGGGGAACCCCTCCGTCTTTGGTGACCAACAGAAAAGCTGGTTGGCTCAAATCCGCTGTTTATTTTAAGATATCCAAAAATAGCTAGTCTTTGATGGAATAAAGTTCTTTGAAGTGTACACAGCTTTGCTATTTAGCAAAGTTTTCCCCAAAAGAAGTAGGATCACATTTCTAGCCCATTCACAGTTTTGACATATCTAAAGGATATATAGACTGTTGCATCTACTTATCTTGTGAAAGAAGGGTGCATCTTTCTGCTAATTTCTTAACTATTGTAAACTCCATGGAAGCAATTAAATTGTTTAGTTTGTTTTAAAAGCTGATTGGCTCTTTGAACAGGGATGTATGGTAGGAAATTCTATCTACAGAATACAAAGATACCTCTCTATTTTAAGACATAAAACAACTATTTATACTGGCTGTATTTTAGTAGCTGCCTTATATGACCAGTCAATAAGTAAGCCCAGGACCACTTACTGGTGTCATATTCATAACTTCAATAAGATTGGGTCTATGTTCAGTGACCACTAAATAGGACTCCAACTTCCTTAGAGGACTGTAAATATCCCTCCCCAAATGTAAATATTAAATAAATGGGTTGGAATCCAGGCTATTCTGTGAGCCAGAAAATGATTATTGGGCATTTAAAAAAAGTAATGCTCAACCATATTTTGTAAATTATATTCTCAATTGCCATTTCTTTTGCCTAGAAAAAGGTGTAATAGTTTCCTGTGTTTACAGGCCCTGCACGACCTTAATGCAATCTTCCCTCTTTGAACAGCACATTGTCACATCATAACATAATGCTTTTGGAACTCTACCGCCCCCCCCCCCCAAATGGCTGGTCATGCTGCATGTGGAGAAATTGTTCACAAAAGACAAGTCCGAACACCCTTTTATCCTTGCACTCACAGAGCTAGGTAGATGCTTCACTGAATTCCGGCCAAGGTTATGGACATGTTATATCAAAACCCAAGATTGTTTCCACTTATTAGAGTGATGACGCTATTTGGGGTGCTGCTTCAGCTACTTCCTAATGTCTGGGCCTGACTGTATGCAAAATCGAACCATGTGTGAGATGTATGAGGCATAGCACACGTTTCAGTAAGTTTGATGGCACGTTAGGAAACTGCTTAGTTTTACCTGGGCCGCATTTTATTGCTTACCAAATGTCATTCGACCACTGATGATCTCTGGTGATTTCGACATGTCATTTATAGCAGCAATAGGGAGTCCCCAGTTGGCTACTGGCCCCCAGAAGTGCTTTAAGAAAAGTAAGAAAAGGAAATTTATCCTCTTGTTAGTTCACATTTATTATTATATCAGGACTCCTAAGTGTGTGTAGTGCTGAATCCACACCATCTTTTGTCTTTAACAAAGATGCCTTCCTTATATCCTCAAAGAAACATGCTTGCAAAAGGGTTCTTTTCTCCCTACACTGTTAAATACTCACGTAGTACAATCGTTTTCCTCCAAGACAAAAAGAGATTAATGTATGAAGCTGTCTTACGCCAAGTCAGATGACTGATCATCCAACTGAGTTGCTGCATCTAGCAGCCACCCTCAATTGTCCATGACAGACCCCTCTCCCAGCCTTGTGACCCGTGATCCTTTCAGTTGACTGGCAACAAACCCTAGGACCTTCTACAACTGTTTTACGTTCCACAGAACATTGTGCAAAAACAATGTGTTTTTACACGTTACCGAACTGAGCACCTTTAAGAAAGCGGAAGTTAATAATCTGAAAGAGCATTACTGAAAACATTTTTCCAAATATATAGGAAAATGCTTTGCAGACAACTTTTTGCATAAAAGCTTATTTTAAGTGAATAAACTTTTGTTAGCTTAACCTGTATTATTTCAGTCATGCACAATGAGATACATCTATTACAACAGGTTGGGTTGTCAGGAAAAAGTCCTCATTCATGCAAAGGACAAAATAAATTTTATCTAATTAGGGTAACTGGCTGTAGTGCTTTGCTGCTAATGGAAATCAAACTCTCCACTGCATTTGTGCAACTGTGAAAGCAGACTTAGTCCCTTTGATACAGGAGCTATATACAACACGCTTATAGCAGATCTTACATTTTGAGATCAGGAAGCAGGGAACGTATGCTGTCAGCATCATTATAACATTCCCTCTTGATTGACTCAGTTCTTCCGCACAAGGTCCATTGTCATTACCACCCTTCTCTAAGGCACATTCCGCACAGACCAGGCTCAGGCTTTTTCAGTGACTGCCCCATGTCTGTGAAAACAGCCTCCTAGAAGAGGTCAGTGGGGCTACTACTCTCCTGGCTTTCTGGTAAAGTTATCAGACAGAGTTACTCTGGAGAGTTGGGAGGGCAGCCTGAGCCTAGTTAAAGGAGAAATATCCTACTTGTGGGGCAAAAGTGTTTCTACGTTTGTTTGAATGCAGAAGCCAGGTGCAACTAGGCTTGCCAAGCCCCCGCTGGGGGCGGGGGAACCCCTGATTTTAAAAGCCCTTACCCGCTTTTTAAAAATTCGGGCCTGCTAAATATGATTCCGAAAGGTTATAATAAGCAAGAATCATATATAATAGGATACATTATAACAGCTGCCAGACTGCTATTAGCCCAAAAATGGAAATCCGAAGTTATGCCCATGAGGGAAGAACTAATAGATAAGATATTGGAACTAGCCAGAATGGACGACTTAAGTTTAATGCTACAAAATAAGAATGAAAAGGTACATGAAAAGAGATGGGAAAGGGTGTATAAGTGGATAGAAGAAATGTCAAGAAGTTAGTATCCCAGTAAGGTATATAAAAATTAAGAGGACCCATGCTTCAGGCTCACATTTTTGCAGAATGGTGTGACCACGAAGCCGTGGATCCGTGATTTTTGTGGTGCAGGCTGTGGCTGTGGCTGTGGACGTGTTATGTGATTTGATGGTGTTTTTGTGGTGACCCAATTGAAAAACCCTGAGGATCCCTGAGGATCCATGCTTTGGAACCATGTTTTTGCAGTTCTGTGGTGCCACGAATTCGTGGGGGCATGAATATTTGTAGTGCTTCTTATAATCTAAGACATGGTCTACAGTATGATGTTGGTTTTATTTCATTTTAGTGTAGAAATCATACATTTTGTGTCTGCATTCAGCACACTGTGTCAGAATTACAAAAGTGCCACGGACTCAAAAAGGTTGGAGACCCCCGAGCTAGACTACAGGTTGGGATATTTCACAGAGACTAGGGGGGGGGGTGTTCTTTGGGTCAGTGGTCAACAGAGTAGGCAATAGTGTGCGAAGAACTCAGAGTGTGACACTGAAAGGGAACATGCAGGTATGGAAGGCAGCAGAACTGGACACTGGAACTGGTAGAGGGACAAGGGCAAGATTTATGATTGACAATGGAGGAGGTGGCTCACATCAACCTCATGAATTTGTACGGAAACAAAGGAGCTGAGATAGAGCTGATCTGGTGATAGCTACACACATTCCAGAAATACCCGAGCCAATTCCAGGTTATATGGATAAACATATGGAGCAGAGGTCCATCAGTGGCTATTAACCAGAAGGTATAGAGAGGAACTCTCAGGCTGGGGCAAGTGATGCAGTGTATTCTTGGTGCTTGGGGGGGAGCAGCAGTGGGAAGGGTTCTAGTGTCCTGGCCCCACTGCTGGACCTCCTGATGGGACCTGGTATTTTTGGCCACTGTGTGACAGAGTGTTGGACTGGATGGGCCATTGGCCTGATCCAACATTGGCTTCTCTTGTGTTCTTTTTCCTTTGGTACCTCATGCCTTTAGCTCACACACTCAATGCACACAAAGCATGGTCTCTCTACTGTCAGTCCATCAATGTCAGCATTGTCTACTCTGACTGGCAGTGATTCTCCAGGGTTTTAGGTAGAGGACTTTGGCAGAGTGTTCAGTCTTCAGTTCTTAGACCGTTCTGTTGTGTATTTTGCATAGTGTGAAGGAATGTTGTCTGGTGATCTTTTTCTAGGGCCTAGCACACATACTTTTTGTTTTCATTATAATGCATATAGTCTCATTTGGTCAGAATTAAGCACATTGAATTCTATTGATTTCAGTGTAACATTTCAGTGTGTGCTTCTCTTTCCTACTGAAACCACTGAAAAGGGCTTCACTTTTGACATGTGCTGTTTGCTTGTTTTTTCCTTCTGATTGTTAAATGTTTAAATTAAAGCATTTTATGTTTCTTAAAGCTTTTTGTTATTTTTGCATTGGAAGGAGGCCTAAAAGCCTAGAGGTAATGTAAAATAGGGGAAAGGTGGGGTAAGAATTGATATATGACACTGAATTTAAATTTTATTTTTTGAAAGAAGGTTACTTCAGAGGGAGAGGCGGCGGGTGTGGGTGAGTGCCTGAAAAGTGACATCACAGGAAGCGGTGAGGTTTTGGTGCAGTGTACTGGAAGTGACATCATCGGAAGGGGAAGTGACATCACTTGCCATTTGACCTGGAAGTGACATCACAGGAAGTGATATCACAAAAGTCTCCTGGCTCCACCCCCAAAGTCTCCTGGCTCCACCCCCAAAGTCCTCAGATATTTCCGAATTTGGACTTGGCAACCCTAGGTGCTACCCCTTTACTACACAAAGCAGTTGCTATCTGTAGAGAAGCAAGAAGGAGTAAAGGATAGTAAAAATGTAGATTATTGTGTTCTGCTGAGGTCCTAAGTACCTTTCTGCTCCTTTTTCTTGCAGCAATCACTAGTAGAGACAGACTGCTACAAACAATTTTAATGGACAGACATTTAGAAGTTGCTTTCTTCACAAGTCAACAGCTGTGAAGAAAGCCTTCCCATATATTTTTCAGGTAACATGCAGTGAAGGTCTCTCAGGGTAAAGTTTATTAGAACACAGGACTGTGTGCAAGATGCAAATGGAGCAAAAAGATGAGTATTTTATTTAATTCATCTTCCCTGGAACAAAGCAGTAGTCTAACTTCAGTAGGCTTGGAGCACTGTTCATAACTATGCTAGAAAATACTCAGAAGTGTTTGAAAGAAAGCAGAGAATTTCTTACCGTACTGTTTTGTAAGTGGCCGTGATTCATCATTCAAGTGGATACATGAAAGAGAACATGAAAGTCATTTGCCTTAATAAAATAAATTGTGATAAATCAACCCATTTATCTCTAAACCACCAACTGCTAAAAGGAGGTGATTTTTAAGTTTAAAAAGTAACCATTTTAATCAAACAATATTATCCTAGATTCATATAATGGCAGCAGCAATGTTTCTGTTGAAATCTGTGGGACTTTAATCAGTCACAACTTACTTAAGGCCCATTGATTTCAAAAGAATTTACTGTCAATAATTTTACCTGATCAGAACCAGTACATTAAGGTAAGAAGCTGTCAAATCCACCATGGAAAAGTACCTCTGGGTGGTAACAGGAAATGTATAAACAGAAAACAGGGTTGCACTTACTTGTAACTGTTGTTCATTGAGTTGTATTCTGTCAAGGGAACCATAGGAGAATATGCATATGCATATGCCAACGGAGAAAAATTTCTAGCTACTAAGAGTAGAGAGGGCGCCCCTCCCCTTGGCGCATGCTTAGAGTGTTCCCGCTGAAAGCACACCAAGGGGCACCATTTCCCCTCAGTCCTTTCACACTGCCAAGCCACTGAGCAGCTCAGCCAAGCCACAGCAAGAGCTCCCAGTAGAGTAGGAGGGAAGGAATGTGTGTCTGCACAGGACAACTTGACGAAACACAATTACAGGTAAGTGCAACCCTCTTTTCATCTTCAGTCTTCTGTGCAGCCCAACATTGGGAAGAATACCAAGCTACTCACCAGGAGGTGGGTGCGGAGCTCTAGGTGAACAGGGAATGCAGAACCACTCTACTGACAGCCACTTCTCATCATGTGTCTGTGTTAACTGTGTAGTGTCAGATAAAGGTATCCTCTGATGCCCAGGTGGCAGCTCTACAAACCTCATGCAATTCTACAGAACTCATGCAGACGTTACAGAGGCCCTTCAGGAATTTCTTGGGCATGTGATGGGGAAAAAATGAAACCCCATTTACAAAATTATGGAAGGCCAAAATGGCTCCTTCACTAAGGAGGGAGCCAGGCCAGAGCCCTTAAGGGACAAGAGGTATTCCAAAACTAGGGGCAATGGACTAGAGGAAGGAACAGAGCCCCTGCTCTTGATCCAGTGTGAAAACCTATCCCATTTCCTAGCATGGGAGTTATTAGTGGAGAGCTTCTGAGAATGGAGCAGCAGCACCTCCCATACCTCCTGAGAAAACCCTAAGCTGGGGGGGTTCAGAAGCCAGGCCATTAGACAAAGCTTGGCCACATTTTGATGCCACAGGGAACTGGGGGTAAGAAGGTCTGCTGCAAGTTCCCAAAGAATGTAATGGGTCTTGGACAGGAGCAGAAGTTCCACCATACCTGCCTGTGCCAAAAGGGGGCAATGAAAATGCAGTGGGTACCTTGGGCCTGAATCCCACCCAGAATCCTCCCTGCACAGCGAAGGTGTAGAAGAGGCCCCCAGACCAGGGGTTCTGAAATGCGTCCCTTACAGAATGTGGGTTGTGGGCTGCCCGTGAACAAAAGAGGGTTGCCTTCACATTGTGGGAAGCCCCACCATTTAAAGACAGGGAGGAAGTACTTCCTGGACAGTTACCACTCATGGTACGGTAAGGCGAATCTGCTCAGTGTATCCAGCATTGTGTTGTGTACCCCAGCGATATGAATGGCTGGAGGGATAAGTTGTTCTGGTTTGCCTAATTCCAATTTTTTGTCTCTCTGCAGAGAAGCTACAACCCTGTGCCCACTTGCATTTTGACATAAAACATGGTCATGGTATTGTCTGTCTGTACCTGAACAAGTTCGTTGCGGAGAAAGTCTGCAAAAGCGGAAAGAGCATAGCAAATAGCCCTTAGTTCCAAGAAATTAATCCACATAGAGGATTCAAGGGGGGGACCACACACCCGCACTGTAAGGTCACTGCAAGGAGTGCCCCAGCCCAGGAGAGAGGTGTCTGTAGTGACTGTGTACATACGGAGCTGCACTCCAAACAGGATTCCCACTAAAAGGTTGGTATCCTGGGTCCACCACTCAAGTGACCTTATAATGGACCTGGGTACCAAAAGCCAAGTAGATCGCACCTGGACAGAAGGATTAAACGTCTTCACAAACCATTTTGTAAGGGTCTTAGATGCAACCTGGTGAATGGAATAACCGCTGTTGTGGAGGCCATAAAACTCTGTATCTGAAGTACAGACTGGAATCTATTTAATCTGAAACCCATAATTACGGTCCGGTCCTAATTGCAGACCCTTGGGTAACCACGACCCTTGGAGTAGTCTACATCCGCAGCAATAAACTGAGTAAAGCTACAAGGAATAAGCTCGGATTTATCCCAGTTAACAGCTAACCCCAGCTTAGTTAGAACTGACAGCAGTAGGGACAGGTGATCCCACAGGGAACTCTCAGAGGGAGCAGTTAACAGCCAATCACTGAGACAGGGAAAATGACACAGCCCTTAGACCTTAAAAAGGCAACCACCACCAATCCATGGGGATAGTAAGAATCACCACACTGTGGACCTGTGAGAAAGCAAAATTATTTTGGACTAATATACATGCGGAAATTGAGAAAATATTGAAATGTAAATTTAAAAAAGAACCAGAAATATTACTGTTGGGTTTAAAAATGGAAGAAGTTAATTTTGCAAAAAGGACATTAATGTGGTATATGATAACAACAGCAAGAATGTTATATGCACAGAATTGGAAACAAGACAGGATCCCAGAGGTTGGAGAATGGATAAAGAAGTTACTTTTTATGGCAGAAATGGACAAACTAACAAGAAAACTCAAAGATTTGGAAGCAGAAGAATTTTTTGCAGATTGGAAGGATTTTAAAGATTATTTAGAGAAATACTGGGATGTGAAGGACAATTTGATTTGCTTTGACACATATTGAGATAAATAGAAATAGAATAGAATTAAGAAGAACATGGACAGTATTGGAATATAAGTTACCTTTAGTTGTGTAATAACGGTTTATAAGTATGTGAAGTTATAAGAAATGACGGTTTATAAGTATGTGAATTTATAAGAAATGAACTGGTGGTTGGAAAACTATGGGAAGCCAATTAAAGGGTGGGGAGAAAGAGAGAAAAGGATATAAAACAAATGTGATATATGTGAAATGTTTATTATCCTAATAAAATTTGTTTAAAAAAAGAAAAGAATCACCACACTGGAAACAGAGGCATTTTCTGTGATCTTGGTGGAAGGAGATATGGAGAAGAGAAGAAGAAGAAGAAGAGATTGGATTTATACCCCGCCCTTCACTTGGAGTCTCAGAGCGGCTTACAAACTCCTTTCCCTTCCCCTCCCCACAACAGACACCCTGTGAGGTAGGTGGGGCTGAGAGAACTCTGACACAAACTGCTCTTTCTCAAGGACAGCTGTGCCAGAGCTTGTGACTGACCCAAGGTCACATCAGCAGGTGCAAGTGGAGGAGTGAGGAATCAAACCCGGTTCTCCCAGATTAGAGTCCGCACACTTAACCACTACACCAAACTGGCTCTCTATGGAAATAAGCATCCTTCGAGTTCAACACTATGAGCCACAGTTTAATTTCAACAATTGTGACACCTGAGACAAAGAAACTATTTGGAATTTTCTAATGAAGAGAAACTTAAGTTATGAAGATCAAAGATCTTACTTTGTACTCCACAAAGACTGTAATCCACCATCCTTCTTGGGAACTGAAAAGTAACAGGAATAAGTACCCTTGCTAACACCAGAACTGGGGACTAAATGGATGCACCCTTCTGCAGGAGCTCTGACACTGCATCTGCCAGGTCAGGAGCAGTAATTTCCCCCAAAAAAGGAGGGAAAAGGCCCAGCGGCAGTGTGCTGACGAGATCCAATCTGTAGCCCTCCATGACAATGGCCAGGATCCAGACATCAGGTGTAATCTTCCACCACTTGCTAAGGAAGGGGGCCAGTCTGTCCCGAAAAAACAACAGTGCCTTTTGCTCCTGCTCCTTAGGAGAGTGCGGTCGGGAGGGCTGCAGACTAGCTCTGGAGACCCAACGTTTGCCATGCGACTGGGCAGAAAAATGACAGCCATGCCCAAAATACAAGGAAGAAGATGGAGGAACAGAACGAGTGTTCTTCTTATACCTTGCCTGCTGGAAGGGACAATCCCTGGAAGGCAAACGCTGCCTAGGCTGTTGAGGTTGACTTGTACATATGCCTAGGGACCTTGCTGTTAGCCTATTCTTCTCGATCTGTTCCAGGGTCTCATTGATCTTAACAGAATAGCTTTTCACCCTCAAACAGCAAATCCTCAGCACTGGCTTGTGTCTCCAGTGGTAGAGCTGTAGAAAACAATCAGGCAAAGCACCGTAAGGCGATGCCAGAGGCCATGGAGTACAGAACAGTCTGCCATGTGCTTCCCCACATTCATTTGTTGCTTAGCAAGGCAAGAGGCCTCCGCATGCAGGAGTTTAACCAGTGAGGGATGCTCTTCAGGAAGAGAGTCAAAATGTGAAGCCACTCGGTCCCACAGGAAGACACTGCTATTATAGCTTGATTGTTTACAATTCTAAAATTTAAAGTGCCCACTGAATAAACCTTGCAGCCCATAGTTTCAGTCCTGTGGCCCTCTTTATCCACTGGAGCAAGGCGGGAACCATGATGATGTCTTGCTTGAAACTCTTCCGTGACTAGTGAGAAAGGAAGAGGATGAGTGAAAAGGAAAGCGCAGTCTGTCTGCTTGATTTTATAAAGATTTTCTATCCTACAAGAAGTAGAAGATACAGAGGATGGGTTCTTCTAAAGGCTCTTAGCCATATCCAAGAAATCTTCAAGGACCAGGAGGTCAACAGACATCGAAGCGTCGGAGAAGAGTGCTGAAAGGATCTTGTGCTTGGGTTTCAGATTCAATGAAACCACCCCAAGCTCTAAAGACTTAGCCATCCTTTGTGAATCCGACGGGAGTTTTGTAAAACGGATAAGTTGGAATTGTGACAGCGAGAAGTGCCTGACAAGCGCT